AAGTACCTGTCTCCTAAAACAATATATAATGATTTGTAAAAATAGATCATTGCTATAAAAATAAATTTGGTTCCCTATTCTGCTAGGATAATGTATAAGGACATGACGCGCAAACATAAGAATGTTGGACATGAATTAACAACACAATTTTGCTACAACTACATAAAACATATGTGCGCTAATTATCAAACGTAAAAGGGTATTTATCTTGATATATTTCTTAATTTGAGCGGACGCGCGTCTGGATTTATTTATTATCATTATCTATTTTTTTTCTTGTTAATTCATTTATTTATTTTTATTTATTCATTTTTTATTATTAATTTATTCTATTTTTTATATAAATATATACATGTATAAGCATATATATAGCAAAAGAGCTGAAGCATCTGTCTCTTACAACAAAAATGTAAATATAATTTGCATAAATGACCAGGGCTAAATTAGATTTAACTCAACAGTCTGCTGATAAATAATGTAGAAACACTGGAAATTACATTATATAATGTTACACTTAAATAGCATTATAGTAGAATTTATGTCCTATATAACGACACAAGATGATTAAAAATAAATCACAGCTAAAAATGTTTTTAGTTTAAATATAATGTATTGCTAACTAATTATACAGAAATATCGTAAAGAAGACCATAAATAATGATTAACTTATACAACATTACGGTAGGATATTTATCCTACAAGAACACAATATGATTACAAAATGTAATCGGAGCTAAAAAGATTTAGCTAAATTTAATATCCTGCTAAATAATAATGCAAGGATATTTTAAAATGATATTATATAATGTTATACCAATATAACATTATAGTAGGATTTCTATCCTACAAAAGACACAAGATGATTTGCAATGAATAACCGAAGCTAAAATAATTTAGCTGAAATACAATATCCTGCAAATAAATAATGCTGGAATATAGTAACAATGACCATTACTAATGTTACATCAATATAACATTATAGTAGGAGCTTCTATCTCCTAAAAGAATATGCAAATCACTTGCTAAAAATGATCATTTTCAGATCAAAAATGCTGCTAATATAATGCAGACTTATAATAAATGATAAACAAATAATAAATGTGTTCATATAATATATATCAAAATATGATAGAAGAAACATCTGTCTCTTAAAGTATATGCTTTGCAAAAGTTAACAGAGCTAATTCCGGAAGACTTTAGCTCTTATTCAAACAATGCTATTAAATAATGCATTTTGTTGAATTGGTTACCTTCTATAATGATATATATTAATAATACGAATACGTACATCAACAACATTATAGTAAGAGAATCAGTATGTCTTCTATCAAAAAACGCAAATACAATTTGCAATAATGACCAATGCTAAAATTAATTTAGCTTAAAATCAATAGCCGGATAGTTAATTATGCCGGATTATTGAGAAAATGACAAGTTGTAATGTTGCATCAGTATATCATTATAATAGGAGTGATTATCTCCTGAATATAAGCAAAATTATTTGCTTAATGGTCAATTCTAAATGAAAGTTTTATAGTTGCTTATCAAAACTTCTGCTAAAATTATGTAGACTTACATTTAATTATATAAAAATTAGACAAATATGAAAATATGATAGGAGAACATACATCTGTTTCCTAAAGAATATGCAAACAATAGTCTTTGCAAAATATGACCAAAGCCAGCTTTTATTGAATGCTTTTAATAATATGTTGAATTGAAACTTTCTTTAATGATAAAGAGCGATAACATAATAGTAAGAGAATTAGTAGGTATCCTATCAAAATGTGTAAATATAATTTGTAATTATGACCAATGCTAAAATAAGATATTTTAATTCGTAGTCAATATATGTTGTTTTTTTTAGTATGCGTGTCCTGTTGCAATTTAGGCTTAAATTAATTTCCTCTGAGAAATTTTGACACAGAGTTTAATTGGTTCAAATTTTCTAAATTTATTATATACAAGTATACTCAATCAATAGTAATTTATCTGTTTTCATAACGAAAATTTACTTGCAAAATCAATGAAGTTAGATATATTGTTATAAGAACATTTAATTCTAAACAGTGTACTCACATAACTCTAATCGTGAATGATGATCAAGTATTTGGAAATTAAGAAGTTCAGATCGTGTTGTCTGGGAGAATTCGCCATCATTTCAGCTATCATCGATGTTTGATTGTCTGTATACATTGAACGATCATATCTATATATAAATCCAACCAGGAATAATCTTTCAGCATCTAGTAATCCATTTATCTTCTAATTTTGTTTTAAAGATTTATTCTTTTTTTTTTTTTTACAGAGTAAATCCAAACGTTAATGTTGAACAATGTAAAATGAGTATTTAAAAGTTCGAAAAGTCAGTAAAATTTACATAACGATATATATCCACTTTTGCACTTTCAGTGTAAAGAAAAAAGAATATAATATATATATAAGTATTGCAGTATTTAACTACAAATGTTATTCCATTTCAAAGAAAATGGTACTGTATAGAAGTTGTCAATAGCGCGCATTTCAAAGAATGAAAGGGTTTTGCGTGATTCATTACAACTTAGTCTCCCTTCCCATGTGAAAGTGTACAATTTGCGCACCTCCTGCTGTTATTGTGCAGTCATAAGATCAAAGAAATATACAGTTGTAAATTCCAGACATATGGAACAGATTAACGTTACAGTATAGGCTTGAAATACATATCTTAAAGAAATTGGTGATGGTTACTAATAAAACATAAACGAATTCATATGCGATATAAATTACGATTTTATGTATCTCATAATCTGTATTGAAAATTTTATTACACATGGACTATCAAATTATGATTCGTTGCCCTAGAATTGAATAAACTTTCTAATTACACAATACGGAGTCATTCATTTGATTGAAGACTGATCTTTGCGTCTTTCTCTGAAATAATTATTTCCTTGTTAAAACATATTTGACCACATATTTCTGTCATTTAACTGTTCACTTTACTTCCGATTTTTGTTGTACCGAAACACATGTTTCTATTTGTGTTTTCTATTCGAATCTATAATCAGTTTAATGGGATCACCACCGAGTAAACGACTACTAGGTACTTTGGACATGTTTTTTACCCCAAATATTTGAATGTTTCTATTGGGATTAAAATGAGCGTAGATAACTAAACAACTGGCTGTATAAATACCTGACCTGTCTAATTCTAATTATGAGATTAGTGGATATATTAAGACTTTCACTACAAATATTCCTAAACAAAAGAGCACATGTTTAAATTTATTCCTTTACAAATAAAAGATCAGAGTAGGTATCTGTCAATTGCCAGACATATTTTTAAAAGATACTTTAATATTAAAAGTTTGATTAATGAATTATGTAAGATGAAAATATAAGTATTGCTTTTTTTATTTTGCTAATATTAAATGTAATCTTGTGGTGAAATTTTGTCGGAGGGTCCTTACGGATTTTGTAGTTAAATAGTTTTTTTTCGGCGATACATGGTTTAAGAATATAATGTTTTCAAACTATATGTTCATCACCATTAGTGAATTTTTAGTTAAATGTATGCAAAATATTAACTAACAGCTATATGATACAGCGGTTTATGAGCGTTTTCCGCGTACAACCTCCTAAGGTGTACTAATAAGTTAGTTTTCCTTAGTTATCACGAAAGCATGATCCATGTCTCTGATCACGGATTTATATTATTGTAATTTAAATCCGTGCTCTGATGTAAGCGACAGTTTACCATTTTTTGTCTTTAAAAACAATTTAAGGACTATTAATGGTCTATAACTGCATGATAATTGAGACTACGGTGTTGCAACGTTCTAGTTTTTGACCCGTCATAAACAGTCGGTCGCTGCGTAGTAATTGGAAAATTGTTTTCAAAAATAATAAAGAAAATTTGACACCTAATAAAAGCATTTACCTATAAATTTTCATTTATGCTTTTTGTTAAAAAAATATTGATAAAGTTATTATATAGAAGGGTTTTCATACCAGAACTATTTATTACCAACGTACGTATGCCTAAACCTGATTACCGCAGCAGTATGACATCACGGAGTAGTGATTTTGAAAAAAAATAACAAACAATAATCAAGAATTTTTCAGAGAATTATTATCTTTACAAATTGCAGATATGAAATTAAAGAATGAAAATATTTTCATATTGTAAATGTCTGTGATGAGTGATGAGTCAGCTTAGAAAAAATCAAGGTAGTAAGAAAGTAGTAGAAAAAATCGCGGCAGTAGGATTTGACGGACGGTATTAACATTGGGGACCCTCCCCAAAAATCAACAGTTTACTTATCAGTTTATTGGACCATTAAAATTGTTTTCAGACAACAGCCACATATAACAATGGTCTTGAAACCAGAAACTTCTCCAAAAGTTTTGCGTTAAGTAAAGTAACATTTAATCAGATAATAAGACATAAATAAATTAATTGAGATGATTTGCAAGGATCTCTCCAATCAAGTGAAATAAAATTTAATAAACTTTAACAATTATGATATACAAACTTTTAATACTTAGACAAAGTGAAACCCGGTCTTAGTTTTTTACTTCATTTTTATCAAATTAAAGGTATATTTTAGTATATCAGAAGTATCAGAATAATTTTGGTATAAGTATAGACAGGGAGTGAAACGTCTTGATGTGAAATGTCCAAATAGTGAAATGTCTGTCTACCAAAACATGTTATGCAGTGTCCGTTATATCTAATGAAATAGTAGTGTCAAATTTCAGTGTTGTCAAGACACCAATTTTTCAAAAACGAATAGTACATATTCTATCTTTTCCGTAATAAAACTTTTTTTTATTCCTACACAACATGGTGTTAAATGGCAAGGATAAAATACCTTATTGTATTGCAAAATCACTTTGATCAGTTAAATCTTAACTAAGCAAAATATTTTTGAAACTATTTTTCTACATTATGCGTATGTACCACCAATCTGGTTATCCTCGCATACATTTTATGCCTACTTCTTATTAATGATTGTCAGAAAATATCAAAATACTTGAGGTCAGTTTGACGTCATTAAGAGAAGGATCATTAAAAGCAATGGAACAAGGGAAACATATGGAATATATAAAAGAGCAGCTAAAGGCAAAAACAGAGGAAATGGTTACAGTTAAGGCTCAGATTGGTGAGTATCATATGTAATAATTACAGATTATATTTTCATTATACACTGTATATCCTTTTCATATAAAGCAAAATAACTTCGGATTTAATCATTTATTACGAGGTATGATCAAAAAAGATCTCGAGCCAGAATATAATTCCTGCCACTACACTGACAAAATACGTCGATACCGATAGGTTTGATTGAGCCTGGTGATGAACGTGTATCTTTTGTTGTTCTATAATCTTATGGTGGATTCTCGAAAGAATTGCAACATTAAATGTTTCAACTGTTTAACACACATGTTAACTGTGTGTAAACAGAATACATTTTCCGGAAAAAATATAACGCTGTTGTTTATCATATATGACAAATTTACACATTTTGCAGACCAGTGTGAACGAGAAACAAGGGTATTATGTGACAAACTGCTTACTCTGACTGAAAGATCAACTGATCTACAAAATAAAGTGGAAACACTTACGAAAAAAAACCGACAGTATCAAGGTAAATTAACATTTGAAACATTTATAATTATAAATTAAAGGTCTATGCTATAATGTTTATATCTTTTAAAAAAGACATTTTTTGCCCCCGGTCATATAGCAATTGAACTGTTCGTCTATCAGTCGGTCCGTCCGTCCGTACGAGGTTAACCTAAAACGTCATGTACGATTTTGTATGGTTAATCTAAACTGGTAAGTTGGATATATCCTAAGTTCTCTCGAAGTAATGACTTTATAATTTCCACACTTACTAACCAATACAAATACATGATACATGTACATGTATTGCCAAGTAATATAACTGTGCCATTCATTTTTCCCGGTTATTCCTTTTTAGCACTTTGTAAATAGGGCCTTGTACCATTTTAGCAAGTTGGATTTATTTTTAATATATCATACTTATTTTATGTCTGAAATGTATTTTTGGAGTAAAAGGTCATTTTCTTAAAAGTCAAGGTGTCAAGGTCATTGGTTTGAAAATTTTGCTCATTTAGCATTTTTTAAGAAGGTCCTTTTCTTTTGGGTTCAGTTAAAGGTTATTTGGGATAAGGTCACAAATATCAAAAATAGATTTTTCACTTTTACATGTCAAACCTTATATCATTGACTTTTGTCTTTTATATTTGATTTAAACATAAAATTGAGTTATCTTCTTCCCCTGGATAGAGTTAGGTGTCGGTTGGGTCAGGGTCACTAGTGTTAAAACTAGATTTCTACACTTTTGCAGCCTTTATTTATTGACTGATGTCTTCTATATTTTGTTGAAAGATAATTTGAATTGAATTCTTCCTTTTAATCATGTTGAGGGTCAATGGGTCATGGTCAGGGATGCCAAAAATAGATTCTTACACATTTCTTTATACAACCTTTCTTTTTTGCCTGATATTCTTCCTATTTGAAAGGATGATAACTTGCATAGCCCTCTTTCTTTGGACTGAATAAGGGGTCAGTTCAAGAAAGGATAAAAGCGCTTAAAATAGATTTGTACAATTTTGCCCATGAAGCCTTTATTTGAGGAGGACATATATCTTTCAAGTCTTTGTATTTGTTTACCAATGTATCATACAAGGAACAAACTCAAGGTGGTCCTTGAAGTTCGGGTGGAGTTTGGGTTCACTCGGTTAGAGATCAAAGTTTTGCATTTATATACATTTGATAATGTTTTATTGGTTCCTTTAATATATTTTAACTTCATCAAATGTCATAGCAATGACATGCCAATTTATATACTTTTTTGTGAGTTACCAGCCCTGGAAATGACCTAAAAGGAAAACCAAACAAATTAAATTACAGTAAACTCGAAAACGAGACCAGTGACCCCAGCTTTTTCTTCAACTTAAAACGTCTAGATGATATAAGAACACGCTGATTTATATAAAATATCTTATGCAGGTTCTGATATACTCGTATTTAATAAAATAGCAGTATCAAATTTCAGCATTTCAAGACACCAATTATTCAAAAACGAATAATACAATGTTATCCGATCAGGCAAAAACGTCTTTTTAGTCCTACACATTATGATGTTAAATGGCAGGAATATACTACATTGTATTTCAAATCACTTTGCTAAGTTAAATTCTAACTAAGCAAAATTTTTTTGAAACTACTATTCTTAACCCATTACTTCATATACACGCCTTTTAACGCCTTTTTCACCCCCCCCCCCTTTTTGTTGTCTCAAATGATGAAAAAATGCCTTATTTAGGCCCCAAACACTTGTTTTTGTTTGAGAAATGTTGTTAAAAAAAGTGACCTCTTTTTCGGCGCGGCCCCCCAACCAAAAGATACATCAGGGGGTTGCCAGAAGGGGGATGTGCCCCCTTCTGTTTGGGGGGGTTTGAAGGGGGGCGGAGTCCCCCTCATCGCCAAGAAAATTTTGGACTTGTGAGAGGCTGTAAATGACCCCAGATTGATCATAAGGTAACGTGTAACCAACGCTGAAAAGCATTTGACTCTATCTCAATCCATTGAGAAGTTGCAGCACTTTGAAATCAATTTTGATGGAAAAAATCAACGCAAAATAGTGATTTTTGGCAATTTTGAGATGTCCCCTCGTTGCCATGGTAACAGAAAATTTAAGCCTGAGCATGTTGTTGCAAGGGCAATGGTCCAGTCAACATTTGTGCCAAGTTTGATTAGTGTTGAAGCAGTTTTAATAGTATTATAGCAATTTGAACTTGTAACGGGAGACTTTTCAATGAAAACAGCCATTTTTCACAAAATGCTCATGAAGCAATGGGTTAATGAATAAAATAAAAAAATCTACAAAACAACAATTTTTCTTCAAATTTATATGACAGACCATGTTTAAACATGAAAAAACGCGATTAAGGGTAATTTCAAGTATTTTCATCATTTTTTGTTAATGAATAAAATAAAAAATCTACAAAACAACAATTTTTCTTCAAATTTATATGACAGACCATGTTTAAACATGAAAAAACGCGAATTAAGGGTAATTTCAAGTATTTTCATCATTTTTTGTTAACCCATTACTTCATATACACGCCTTTTAACGCCTTTTTCCCCCCCCCCCCCTTTTGTTGTCTCAAATGATGAAAAAATGCCTTATTTAGGCCCCAAACACTTGTTTTTGTTTGAGAAATGTTGTTAAAAAAAGTGACCTCTTTTTCGGCGCGGCCCCCAAACCAAAAGATACATCAGGGGGTTGCCAGAAGGGGGATGTGCCCCCTTCTGTTTGGGGGGGTTTGAAGGGGGGCGGAGTCCCCCTCATCGCCAAGAAAATTTTGGACTTGTGAGAGGCTGTAAATGACCCCAGATTGATCATAAGGTAACGTGTAACCAACGCTGAAAAGCATTTGACTCTATCTCAATCCATTGAGAAGTTGCAGCACTTTGAAATCAATTTTGATGGAAAAAATCAACGCAAAATAGTGATTTTTGGCAATTTTGAGATGTCCCCTCGTTGCCATGGTAACAGAAAATTTAAGCCTGAGCATGTTGTTGCAAGGGCAATGGTCCAGTCAACATTTGTGCCAAGTTTGATTAGTGTTGAAGCAGTTTTAATAGTATTATAGCAATTTGAACTTGTAACGGGAGACTTTTCAATGAAAACAGCCATTTTTCACAAAATGCTCATGAAGCAATGGGTTAATATACGTATTTACCATCAATCTGGTTCTTCTCGTATACATTTTATGCCTGCTTTTTATTAATGATTGTCAGGAAATATCAAAACTCTTGAGGCCCGTTTAGCAATGGAACAAAGCAAACATATTAAACATACAGAGGTGCAGCTTAGGGTGAAAACTAAGGAAATGGTTAGCCTTCAGACTAAATTTGGTGAGTATCATTTATAATAATTAGAGATTATATATGTTTAATATACACTGTATTTCCTTTTCATATAAATGATGGTAAATTCGGATTTAACTATTTATTTTAACATGTAATTTTCGTAACATTCAATGCATTTGTCCTTCAAATTTAGTAAGTTCTTTATAAAATCGTATTTTATATGTTTGCAGATGAAGTTAAAAAAGAAAACATGCATCTCAAATTGCAACTTCAAAGTGCAAAAGGTATTTCATGTTGAACAAACAATTGCATATTTGAACATTAAATGGCAAATAACAAAGTTTGATGAATTATTTAATCAGTCTATTCAGTACCATTAAACAGTAGTTACATTATATTAAGTATATAAGATTTTAAATGTAAAAGCACATATTGTCTCAATAGTGTTTCAAGAGAAATACAAAAGTTCATGGTAGAAATATATTTTATCTTTACAAACACAATGGAAAATAATTCAGGTTTTGATTAACAGATAATTTAAAAACACAAAAGGAACAATTAGAAAGGAGTGAATCTACCACGACACACTTACAGGAACATGTAGATCAAATGTGTCAGCAGAACCAGTTATTGGATGGTGAGTTCTGTATGTTTTAATGTATCTATTTATTGATTCATTCTAATATTTAAGCGTTAAAATTTGGGGTCACATCTAAATAGAACGTAATAAATTATCACAATGAGATCTTTAAGCTGTACTTAGTAACATCTTAAAAATCTATATAGAGGATATTTGTTTGTTTGTGTGTAAGATGAATTTTTTTTTCATCGAGTGGGCGTAGCCACGAGTGAGAATACTGTTTTTAAAGTTCACGAGATGAAATAAAATTACATCTTACACAACAAACAAACAAATTTTCTTTTTATTTTATGCTTAAAAACAAGTTAAAACGAAATTTCCTTAATATTTACGTTAATATTAAAATCTGTTTTCCCCATTTAGAGCCTCAAAAAACTCGAATTTCTCATTAAATACAAGAAGTCATGGGCTGAAAAATAAGTTCCACAATCAACGTTACATGGTGGTGATAGTATTCATCTTATTAAAAAAATATGTCGGAATGCTTGTTTAAATAATAAAAACAAACAATTCTAGTAGGACAAAAAGTCCGACCATCCATCCATATTTCTTTTACTGACTGCGAAATTATATTAGTCCTGGCTATGTTAAATGTTTTTAAAGTTGTGTATTTCACTGGATGAAAGTAATTGTGTTTGATTCAGAGGGATATCATTTGGATTTGTTAGTCATACACCTTTTTAAAAGAAAGAAAACTTATTTGAGGATTGTAACAGACAATAAATAAGTGTTGACAGATGTGAAAACATTCAAAAACGTGGATAGGAAATTGGAAAACTTGGAAGCCTTACGAACGCTGGGTTGTTTACTGTGAAATTATCAAATATAATTTTCACGGATAAATCAGTAATCCACTGAAAAACATAAAATAAAAAGGCTTATGTATGTTGTAACTTACAGTATGTTTGATATTTTGCTTGAAGCTGAACTAGGTACGTCACAAAGAGAATGTCTGCATCTTGCTGAGCAGATCCAGCAACTGAAGATGTACGAGGAGAAGTACTCTGAAGCTTCCCAGCAACTAGATTATCTCAACAATACTGTTGTGCCCAAAAAGGAGTCTGCTATAGACCAATTGCAAAAAGAATTAACAGATCTAAACTGTAAGTACATTTATAGTTTATCCTTTCTTTTCAAATGCACATCATATTACAGATATGCTTTGTGAAGTGTAGAAAGCTTCTTGTTGATATCTTCTTTAACTCAACCTTTTTAAAACAAATAGAGGTATTGTTACAGTCGTGTTGGCATTGCTGACTGCAAACTTTAACCTTGATCATAACATTATAAGTTCTTAGTGTATTTTCTTCATACTTGCCACAACAACCCTTGGGACAAGACCTACAACTACATCAGACATTTATTTATAAATGGCCTGGACCTTCAAGGTTAAATTATGACTTTTGCTTGATTTTTGTTGATTTTTGCTATAAGTGGCTATAATGTTTTGAGCTCCATCTTTGTTATTTATTTATTCGTTTTTTTACCCCGTAATATGTAGTATGGAGTAGGGCTCATTCCCATCATATCTTATATCCTTTATACACTATGTAAATATATTACATAATACTTGTGTTAATGTAAATAATATCAAACACACCCGTATATGTATGTTCATAAACATAAATGTACATACAATTCACGCATCCATTTTTCTTAAATATTTGAACACTCATACTTCTTTTTATTTAACAATTGATATATGTGTCTCGGGTTAAAGTTTTTTTTCCACTTAACCAGTGTAGTTGAAACAAAAAAGATTTTAAAACTGTCAATCTATTATTTTAATCTACTTTCAAGTTTGTATCCATGCTAATTTCAAACTATTTGTAAAACCAAAACATAGGGGTATATTTTTTTCTCTCTAACACAAATGAATATACTTTTAATTCTTAACACAATATGTCATACTTAAAGATCCTGTACATTTTGATTGATATTGTTACTGTGTGTGTACCACTCTTAAAAGAACTTATATCTGTATATAATTATACAAATAAAACAATTTTCGAACATCGAAGAATATGTAAAATATATACTGCACATATTTTTTCGCATATTATATGTAATCAATAAATTATATGCATTCATTTCTTATTGGAAAATCTGACTTGGAATTTATAGAAAATAATTTTGTTATTATCTCCCTTTATTTACATGAAATAATGTTTTTCGGAACTTACAATATTGACAAATCTTAATTTGGGCATCATATTTATGAAATAAAACCATAAAAAAATTGTGTGACAGGATCTTAAAGATTTCTAGCTTCCGAACTTACATGTAATATGAATGATTTACTGGAGAAAAACATCATCAAAATTATGTAAATTCTCTGTCAGATATTGAAATAGGTTTTGAATATTTTGATATTCCCAAAATAAATGTAAATGTGTTTTTTCACAGCATTAAAAAAGTACACGTTTTAGTTTCAACAATTTTCATTCGCAACAAAAGTGAATTTGTCGATAAATGTCTGCGAATAATTCTTGTTTGAAACCATTTAAAAACATTGGGAAACATAACTGTATATTAAATGCCAATGAATGTTATTGTCTTGAAAACATATGTTCCATCTTTCTTGACATGTTGATACATCTGAATATTTGGCTATAATTTCATAAACATATTTCTTATTGTTATTTATAAATAAAATAAGTTTGAAAGTATTGTTTATTATAGGGTATTAAACATAAAAAAATGTTACTTTTCAAAGTATTAAATTTATGCATGTACAATTTTATTGCATGTTTTAATTTATGATCCTTTTGATTTAATAAGGAGTCAGTGGGTCAAGAACAAGAGTGCCAAAATAGATTTCTACACATTTGCTTACACAGGCTTTACTGACTAAATTCTGAGGTCACTACATAGAATTAAATGTATTATCATAATGAGAGCACGTAAGCTTTATTCAGTAAAACATCTTAAAAAACGATAAAGGCTTTTGTATGTTGTAACTTACAGTATATATAATATTTTGCTTGAAGTTGAACTAGGTACGTCACAAAGAGAATGTCTGCAGCGTGTTGTACAGATACAGCAACTTAAGATGTACGAGAAGAAGTACTCTGAAGCTTCCGAGCAACTAGAATATCTTAACAATACAGTTGTGCCAGAAAAGGATTCTGCTATTGACCAATTACAACAAAAAATAACAGATCTAAACGGTAGGTAGATACATTTGTAGGATTATCCTTCTTTCAGATGCACTTCATGTTCCAGATATACTCTTTGAAAGGTAGATAGCTTCTTGTTGATATCCTTTTTTTAGCTCAACTAAAAAAAAAACACTCACACAAAACATTGGTATTGTTACAGTCATGTTGGCGTTGCCGTCGCTAACTCAATTCTTTTTAAGTTCTTAGTGTTTTTTTTCATACTTGCCAAAACAACCCTTGGAACAAGACCTTCAAGTACACCAGACTAAACTTGACATTAACAAATATATGACCTTGATCTTTAAGGTTAAATATCTAAAATTTGCTTGATTTTTGTTAATTTTTGATTTAAGTTGATCTAATATTTTTGAGGCCCCATCTCGCCGTTTATTTACCCCGCAATAGGTATAAGAGGACCAGGCTCATTCCCATCATACCTTACATATTTATATGCAATGTATGTATTACACAATAATTGTGTTTATGTAAATAATATTAAACACACCTACATTATATACATGTTTATAAACATACGTACATACAATAAGCGTCCCATTTTTTAAAAATAATTTAACAATCAAACTACTTTTTATTTAACATTTGATTTATGTGTTACGAGGTTAAGTTATTTTTAACTTATTTAGTGCAGTTGAAACAAAACAGATCTTAAAATTGCCCACCTATTATTTTTCTACTGTCAAATTTGTATTTCTATGGATACGCCATGCTAATTTCAAACTATTTGTAAAACCAATATATGTAGGTATAACGTTTTTATAGAACAGATTAATGCTTTAATTCAATCTTGCTTGATGATACTGAAACTGGCATTAAGATTGATTCCAACTTGCTTCATGATATTTAATCTTATTTGTATTAATCTGAATTTACTTTTAATTATTTCATTCAAACTTGCGAAGTGACTAATTATTTCATTGAATGATAACTATTGAACATGCACAAGCCATTTATCGAACTGTTTTGGAATATTAAAATGTTAACGCCATAAACTGTTCCCCATTCTTTATACAAACTATTTACGGTTTAGTATTTGTTTGTATTACTTTTTTGTACAAGAGATTCAAAATCGATTATACTTTGTTCCCTTCTCTTTTTGTACACCGAAAATAACACGATATATTTTGTTAAAGTTTGCCTGATATGATTTATCGCTTATGGCGTTTTTACTGTTAGTTTTCGCTTATTTCAATTTTCAGTGTTAATACTAAAAAAAGCTCGGTGTCTGATGCTTTGTGGATCATGTTTGATCATCTGACATTGTATAAAAACAATCTTAACAATTTTTAACGATTTCAACTGTTAAGGGGCGAAAACTCTATTATCTACATCAAAGTGTTTTTTTTTCCACATTTGGCCTCTCATCGAAACTTTCCGTACAGAAACTGCGGTGACCATAGAACGATATTCTTTTGTGTAAATATAAACACGTACCAAGCACTAAATAAATAAATTGCCCTTGAAAGAAGATAAGTATAAGTAGAATAAGGTTATAATTGTGCAATACAAGTTTATATATGTATACAATCTAATAGAAAAAATAGTTATTACTTATTTAATGGGGTACTTATTCAGTGGCGGATTCAGGCTCTAGCACCCCCACCAGCTTAGCCCTAAGATACGTTCATGACCTGGGCTGGAATATTATAGAAAATATACGTGTCAGTTTCATGCAATATTTGACATAGTGTACTCTCTTATTAAAACATGCTGTCATCCAGTCGTTTAGCATCTGCCTCAGGGCTGGAAAAGATCCTTATCAAACGACTTGAACATAACACCGGCATATTTGACTAGTCTATTAACTTTCCAAATAGTGGCGAATAGGTGGGTAACGCAGTACAACATATAAGAAGGAAGGAATGAAGAAAGGAAGGAAGGAAGAAAGGATTATTTATTATTGTGACATGTGATAGTCAATTACGTAATAACAAGTGAAATGTTGATGCTGCACATCAAAGACGCCGCCAAATGATGTGAACAGTCAATCAGCATTGAAAATCGTTCTCTATTACAGTTGAATATGCGAAGAAAAAATCAATTTTTTCTCCATATTCTTGGTATGTGCTCGTTGTTTAATAATAAAGTTGCATACTTTTGTGAATGCATAAATTCACAAAGTCATGCCATGTCTGAAATTCTAAAATGTTTTTTCTGTTGCGACAAAGATTGTAACGTCTGGTCGAAGCAAATTAAATTGGATAGCAAGTAAAATTGAAATGACTGGTATACTTAAAATGAATTCAAGACAATATGTGCCGAGAATATATCCATGTTAATATTGGTACGAATTGCATAATGTTCAAATGATTTTGAGGACGAACTGTTCTGCAGTGATCTCCCCTTACTGGTCGTAGCGTAACGAGTTTACGGTTGCAGAAGAACCGCCTCTCTGATAATGGGCGTGGTTTAGGCTTTGTGACTTGTTTTTTAATGATTCGACAAGTGATATTCATCAAAGTTGTCCTGGTTCCCTTCTGTCCCGTCAACGAAGAATAAATGCTAGCATACGGAGCATCATTTTGTTTGCGACAATTTAAGGCGGAGCCGAACTTCAACAGAGGCGGAGCAAATGAAGTAAGTGACACTGCCTCAGTCGTAACCTCTTTCAACGGTTAAGTTTTAGAACAATCGACTATAGACTGGCTCATTGGCACGTAATTTACTATGTAAATAAAATTAGATAATGATAAAAAGAATATGATATTCAAACTTGGCATTATCATTTCAGTCAGAAGTTTATTCAAATTCCTTAAAGCTCCGTGACATGTTGTACATCAGTAAAACTTTTTTTATTAGAAAATTTGAGAACAGTGTGATTTTGTTAAAACAAAAAATACACAAAATCAAGTCTAAAATTTTCCACATTGCTGTGTGGACAAATGCATATCTACTTGCAAGCGGCGTCTAATCATATCTGTGTACAGTTATAGTACACGGCCCAATGGGCCTATAGGTCACTTATTTAATGATTTTATAATGCATCATATAAGATATATAACGTTGTATTATGTAGTATTCGTGGTATAAACAAATATTAATTGAGATGGTTCTAATTCATGCAAAACAATATTTACAAAAGGCTACAAACGTTTAAATATCAATAGTAAATCTTAATGAAGAGTTGCGCTTCTAAATATTATTATCATTATCATTTTGAGATACCGCAGTCATTTATTCTGTTAAGAATAAATCCGGTTTCGTCTGCACATATAAGCAGTTTTAATATATTAAGACATTTTACGTGCTTATTCTTATAATAAAGTGTCCGTGTATGTGCTTGGTGATTAATTAAGTATACAAATATAGCGAAAATAGCGGATCCATCCGGAAAATAGCGGGATGTACCGAAAAATGCGACACCTGCTATCATAATATGAAAGCAAAATATTTCAACTCGCATCATGCTTACCGCCAACTGCTTAGTGCTTTTTGTAACATGTGACATATGTGTATATTATCGCTATCGTTGTCATCTACAGTGAGTACATATTGCATTTTACTTGTGATTAGAGAATATATTGAAGCATATGAATGCTAAGTCACATCAAATTTGCCACGTATTGATAAAAATATTTGGCAATAGTTTCATAAACATACTTGTTATTGTTGTTCATAGATAAAAAAGGTTTAAAATTAGAGCTAGGGCATTGAACATTAAACACTTTGTTACTTATCAAAATATTTAACTGTGTATTGGAAAAAAATCACGAGTTTGCATTTGACCCGTTCTAAATATCATATACTCAAAATTACCCTGTATATTTTTGTTACATTTATAGTTCATTATGAATATCTTTAACAAATCTGATTTCTTTATAATACAATGTCTGAATTTTTACTAATTAAAAACTGTGATTGTAAAAATGTTGCATATGTAATACTTGCTCTATATTATCTTTACAAAGATCATCTTCAAATACCATATAAGCTTTTAAAACATCCACTCAGAAAACATTTGTTATCTTACTTATAATCAAATTACAAAAAAAGTATTTCAGTGTTAAAATATGATAAACAAGATCAACAAGGAAAGGCGGCGTTCAATGAACGCAACCCCCACATGACCCAGCAACAAGAACCAATGGCAAGGAGCCCCGGGGGACCCCAAACAAAAACAGGACAGGGCAAAGACAGCACGGACAGGTTAATCATTAAATGATAATAAATTTGTAACTGACCAGGAATTTAAAGAAAATAAAAATAGGCCCACAAAGGGGAAGGGGACAGGAGACCGGGGGAGGGGGTGGGGAGTAATCAAAGAAATAAAAACTAGAGGCAATGGGGAAGATACTTACCGTAGACGAGAAAACAACAAGGGACACAAGCAAAAGTGTCACCAAAACAGTATGAAACAACATAAGACATACATCTGAGGAACACAGTGGGGCGCCGCCTTGTATTTACAATGTATTTATAGCCTAAAAAGACACTTTTGCTATGACTAACATATCATATAAAACTCTGGACTCGGAATTCCGGGTTTAAGTTTGTACAAGTCGTCTGCTCTAGCTCGCCTAACCTAAAATGATATATTTTCATATAATTAATTTTCTCTAGTTATATATAACGACACAAACATAAATTAAAATTTCTCCGCACATGAAATTATTTCAATGATATAATAATACTATTTATTTATTTATTTATTTACTAGATAAGTAAGCATATTATCGTGTCTTCGCCTTCGACTTTTGAGGGGCGAAGGCACAAAAACTGGAAATGGCAGACGTTATCTACCATATTACTGTCTGCAATTTATAAGCGCATGTATATCAACTTACTCGACTTGCATGATAAAATCTACACCGGTTAAAGGGATTTCCTTGCAATCTATGGCGTACGCTTCCCTTTCCTTTCCATTTTGAGAATCAGATTCCAAATTACTGAAGAAAACAATGATATTGTCATCCTGAAAATAATAACATATAAAGATTGTAATATTTGTAAAAAAAACTGGAAACAAAGTGTTACCTCGGAAGCATTAATCACAACAAAA